GAACAAAAGATTCGATCACTTTAGCGGCTCCTTCGCTGGACCCTCCAGACCATGCCCCTCCCTCCGCCGTGGAACGATAGATCTTCTTTGGATACGAGGAGTAGTTAGACGCAAAGTCCGGGTACCAAGCTTGGGTCACCTTAGCCCATAGACTACCGCTTCGTGCAAACATCCCGGCGGTATCTGAGACGGGGCTCAACGGGATGACATGTTCCAGCGAAATGGCTCCTGTCGAGGGCCTATTTCCAAAGATTCCTTGTTGTCCTGCCGGACCACGCATCGAGCCACCGGTATCACTACCAACAGCCAAATCTAGCCATTCGTAGGCCGCAATACCAGCACCAGGGCCAGTAGATGAGCCACTGGGATCTTGGTAACCGTCGCCACGTGGGTTGAACGGTGCATGCAAGTCGACCCAGTCAGCTGTCGGACGGTCGCCATTGGCGAACTGAACTGTGCCCATCTTCCCTACGAGGACCGCTCCAAGATCAATCAACCGTTGGATAGATGGAGCTGTCTGGTTTTGTCGCCCATACAGGTAGAAGTAGGCCCTGTTTCCTCCACTTGTGGCGACACCCTTGACGTGAAAGATGTCCTTCACACCGAAGCGGAGGCCGGCAAGTGGCTTTTCCTGAGTCGCAGTGTAGTGAAGCCGGGATGGCACTGCAATGCTCTTCGCCATGACATTTTCAGTGACCGCCGGAAGCGAGGTGAAACCTTCTGCCTCGTCACTAATGACTCCTTGGACAAAAGCCAAGTTGTCGTCACTGTACAGCCGATACGCCTGATAAATGTTCCCGCTATGAAACGAGACGAAGTATGGTCCCTTGGGCAGGTCGAGGCTCGCACTGAACGTCTCGACACTTGAGGCAACCCCTTGAATCTGAGATGATGAAACCAGAATGGAAGTTCCCAATTTTTGAAGGCAGTCAGAGAGCTCCGAACCGTCAATAGTCATGTTGTCCGCTATATTGAGACGAAGGTACAGCGTTTGGAGAAAAGCTGGCTGAAAAACATCGTCCGAGGTCTCGTACGTCGTTGTAGTATTCAAAAGCTCATCTATCGACAGCGCATAATTTGAGAGCTCTAGAACAGTCATAGGCAATAAATCGGCGTATTCTGTCGTGGTATTCCGGAGAAGTTCGGTTCGCAGGTGGCCAACGGGAACTCCTCCGGAATAATAATGGACACCGTTGATCCGGATAAGGCGCCCTTGGTCCACGTGGGCCGTAAGAGCCAGTGAAGCTAAAGCGAGAGCAGGCACAAACCACATGTTGTCGCAGGTGACTCGATGAATATGTGACGTTCGAATGAAGCACGCAGATCACATAGCTTTCAATCAATTTGTATTTAAACACATGCAACTTGGCACCGTTTGCCGTTGTCAAATTTCCGTGTGTCAATCATCGAGAATGCGTTAGTGTGACACTGTCAGATGAGATATGGCCGATAGACTTGCAGCTTATGTCGGACTCGCCTAGTCCGCGTACATATTTTTGATCGGTGTCTTCGAGCCGATAGCGGCCTCACGACCCACGGAGCCGGATCCGAATCCCTGGCCCCCAACGGAGGTAACGGGGTTTAGCTGATCCGGATTGGTTATCGGAACGGGATGCCTGCGAACCAAGACCCCAATGTCAGCAAGCTACGTTGGCGCCAGCCCAGCGGCCCACTTAGCAGTATTCTTATCTTGCGCCGGAAGCCAGCGCGATGGAAGATAAGTCAGATTGGATACTCGTGAGATAAGACCGAGTGAACATCGTATCAGACAAGAGGCTGCGAAGTTGAGGTTATTGAAGTACAAGGTGCAAGATATTGATCATCTGGCCTTTCTTATGACAATTTCCCTTGCGACGAAGACTGCAGTTCGTGATAAGCATTTATGGTCCGACAACGCTTGACGCCAAGCCAACACATTCACATTCGTCCCCCTTGGGAGACAACCATATGCCAAGCGAAATCGCGCCTCTTGGCGATAATCCACTCCCCGCAGCTGGCGGCTGTTGCCCCGCGGCTATGTACTTGGCAAATCGTGACATAGGTGAACCCTTGTTGAATAGCAGTGACTTCGAAACTCTTGCGCAAACATTCGGAGAGTAGAGATTAGGATGAGAACGAGACAAGACAATCTTGTCGTGCAGCTTTGCCCGACTTGACTCGATTCGCTTAGACATTCATCAATACTTAGGTATGTAATCATCGTCGGGCTTGATGCACCACCTCGAGAGTCGAGAGGCCCATTCTTCGCCCACTTTCCGATTGTACGAGTAAGTCATGTGGACCGAATTACTTTGCGAAGACAGTGAACAAGATTATCTCACTATATAAGCTTGACGAAGTCAGGAAAAACTCTCGCAGGACCGTCTGAAACAACCGGTACTAGGTTCATTGTGTGGCCATTTTTTACAGAAAGAACTCGTGCAGGGATTGGATGCTATTAAAACGCCGTGGTAGCTTTCAGGTGAAGTCAGAGTGCATGCATGCAATCAAAACCCTTCTTCGGTTAGTTGACCTTAAGACTCATGACTGAGGACAACAGACAAAGACTTCGAGAGTATGTTACTGTTGTTTCAAAGAGCTCAGTGAGCGCTGCCAACAGATAGTACAGTAGTAATGTCGCTTGGGGCGGATAGCGGCACTCGAATCACGAGTCCAAAGTTTGATATATTGCTGACACTAATGTTGGGCAGTTTATCCGTGCCTTAAAAGGACTCATTTATGGTTACCCGTTAGACTGATCCCCCAATTTTAGCATTCAGCTCAGACCATGATGCGCCATCCCACGAGGGCCTTAATGCGACCCAAATGCGTGTATTAGACATTGAGGCTCAACAACCAAAGAACAACGGTGGTCTACTGAGTATTTCAAACCATTCTCGATCGAATTCGTCCATCGTCTGATTTCTGACAAGAGACGGGAGCTGCCTTGGCGGAGCCATTCAGGAAAGGGGCGATCGACCACAGCACCACTTCGGATGGCGTCCCACCAATCGCGAATTTTCCGCAGCGCATGCGGTGTCATGAAACCCCACGACTTTCCATGTTGGTTCATCTCAAGCAAAACATCAGTTCAGAACAATCTCGCTTGAATCGACTGAGGGAATGGGGCATTCAATGTGGGGATCAAGGGATGACGGAGCGCTCCGTTGGTATTGGTGGTGGAATTACTGCGGCGTCTATTTACGTTTCAGAAGCAACAAATTGATTAAATCCGAGCGGCGGATTGATTGGTGGATCAACCCGCAAACGCCTCCTTTCGGAACAAAAGTGCGTCAACCCTGTCGAGACAGCGTCAGGGGTCATCGATGGCTAGACCCAATTTCAGCTAAACACATCGCGCCTGTTCGGCAGTGGCCCTTGGCAGAATTTGCGCCGTGTAGATGGTATGACGACGAAATAGAGTCGATAAAATGCGCTGATATAACAGAGATTTTGCGTTAGAGTCAAGACTGAGTTACGGGTACAGCCTACAGACGTGCTCTGTTCCGCACTCTCCAGGCGTCAACCCTGAGTAATGGCTTACATGACCCATCAAACAACCCGGATGTCCATTCCGCCCGCCAATCTCAGGAATTGACAACAGCCGATGTCATTTTCCGGCTAGTTCGGCGAAGATCACCACTCACTCCAGTGCAAGCGCCCAAGCGAGATGCAACCTCCTTTCCAGAACAGTTGTATTCCCGGATCCATCATGAACCCGCCGTGACAAACCCACAAAAACCATTATGATTGAAACAAGATGGATCCGAACTCGCGGGTACGGCTTTCCACCTTCGTTGATGCCCTCGTATAGGGCGTAGCGCCAGCTCGAAGGCGTGTGACCTTTTCGGATTCGGCCAGCTGGACATGCCTGACTGGGTTGGAGGCAGAGACTTATAAAGAACGCGATCCTCTCGCCAAGTTCGGGGTTCTTCTCTTGGCCAACAACTTCAGCAATCAACTTCAATCGCTAGTCGATCCTTTCTATTCATTCAACTGCCACTCTTTAAATCACTACCAAATCCAGTCTCTACCAACTACAAACACACACAATGCCTTCCACCAGCCAGATCGTCTCCGCCCTCGCCGTCACGGCCGTTGCCGGCGTCCAGGCCGCTATGGGCCCTGCCTTCAGCACCGGACCCGTCTCCTCCGACTCTTGGATTCGCGAGGCCACCTCTACTCTCGTCCTTCCCGCCGCCCCTGCCAACAACAAGGGCGACGCCTCCCTCTGGGTTGGCATGGGTACCTCCAACGGTGACCTGATCCAGTCCATTGCCGAGAACTGGAACTCCAACAAGTGGTCCGCCTACGCCTACACCCTGATGTCCACCGGTGCCAACTCTCAGATGCCCGTCCAGACTGAGGGCACCGACGCCGCCGAGGGTGACAAGATCACCATGCACTGTAGGTTTTGCTGCTTCTAATGGTTTAACTACGCAGTTCGCTAACATATCTCCTACAGACAAGTACGACGATGCCTCTGGCAACTACACCCAGACCGTCTCCCTGAACGACAAGGTCATCTCTACCCTGTCCACCAAGGACGGCCACGCCCAGGGCTGGGGCTCCGCCGTTGAGTGCGCCGAGGAGGACTGCGGTACCATCGGTGCTCACTCTTGGATCAACACTAAGATCATCCTCGACAAGGCCGACGCCAACTACATCAACACCATGGGCAAGGGCCAGGGTGTCACCGGCGACATGAGCACCAGCGACGGCGGCAAGACCTGGGTCGTCACTACCATCGAGATCCCCGAGTTCACCTTCGGCCAGTAAGCGGTTCCGAGCACGCAGGTTGAGCCTGGCTTAGTTGAGGGGTGGCACTTTTTCTTCCATTGTACCTATTATGTCTGGACATAGCGTGCATTTTATACATACCACTGGGCAAGACAGAACAGTCCTTGTACCAAAAGCTGTAAAATACCAAAATATTTGATTGTTCAACTTCTGTGTCTATGCGTGCCATCAGTGACCGGTGTTGTTCGGATCTTTACGAAATCCAACTCAATCTCTGTCTATCACTGGGCAGGTGAAATCTGTCGGTTTGGACTACTTTCCTTCATCTTCCTGGAAGCCTCGATCTTTGAAGTGCCATCAGCTATCTCTTCCACGCCCTCAATGACAGTTGCATTCAGCTTCTCGGCACCCGATTCGAAGTGCACGACTCCCTCAAATAAGGCGTCGATTTCCTCGAGAGTTTTTCCTATTTGAGTCAGTTCCTAGCTTGCCACTGACCTCACCGAGATAAATCCAGTCTAATCGTACAGGAGCGCACATACCTTTGGTTTCAACGAAGAGCCACCATATTATCGCGAGAATCCCTAGGTTCCAGGCTGCGTTGGTCGCGTAGAAACGCCAACCCATTTTCTCGAGCGCAACAGGAAGTATGTAGGTCATCATGACGCAGAAGGCAAATCCTGTCGCTTGCGCCAGGGCAAAGCCTTTCGCTCGCTGACCAAACCGGAGAATCCGTGGCGGATAGGTGTAGTTGAGAATCATCCAAGAGCTGAAGGAAACGAACTGGAAGATGAAAATAATCACCACAGCACCAATTCCAAAGCTTGATTGATTTTGAGGGTTGGTACTACCCAAGGCGCCGAGGAGCGCCAACATAGCCAGGCAGAGTGTCATGATAGCGGTATTCGCAAGCAAGAAACGCTTTGCACCAAAATACTCGGAGAACCATACGCCAAAGGCAACGGCGAAACAGCCCCAAATGCACAAACCAAGGTTGACGAGAAGGGTTGTCCGTGCTTCGACGATACCGGCAGATTGTACGACCAGAGTCAAGAAGTACGGGAAAGTGTTTGAGCCGGAGATTTGGAAAAAGATGTTCGTCAAAACCACAATAGCGAAACGGCGACGATCGGATGCTGTTTTGACCAAAGCTCCCCTGCTGCTTGCGCCTGACTCTTCAGACTGCTTTTCGAAGTGGATTGTCTGGAGCATCTGTTGATATTCAGCCTCCACGATTACGTCCCGTTCCGCACTTGGCGGGTGCATTCGCAAAAGTACTTCAAGGGCCTCGTCATTTCGATTCTGGTCGATCAGCCAACGAGGAGACTCCGGTACAAACGCTAGCCCAATGATGGCCAGTATCGGGCCACCAAGCTCTCCCAGAATTGCACCTCGCCATGCCCAGTCCGAGCCGGCAAGGTAAACTCCAAATATTGCAGCTCCACTGATAGTTCCAAAGACGGGCATAGCGAGGCTGATGTAGTTTGTCAACAAACCATGCCAGGGGCCTGGAGTGGATTCGGCAACCAACGAGGGTCCTGCAACGCTATTAATGATGAAGGCCATTCCAAGAATGAGCCGACCGGCAAGAAGTGTAGGTTCTGCGAGTGTATTAGTTCCAAGACTTGAATAATACAACATATTCTCACCATTCTTTGCGAGAGCTTGGGTTATTACCGCCACAACGGCAATGCTGTTGCCTACGGCAAGGGACTTCTTGCGGCCCGCCCAGTCTACCAAGACCCCGGCGATAGGGCCTGCGAGGAAGCTTCCTACATTCACGATGGCGACATTCAACCCGATGTATGCTGCATTCAGTCGGAAGTCTACATTTTCCTTGTTAGTTCAAGTCCATGCAATCGATTTCTTTTCTCAAAGTTGCACTAATGGTGATTGAATATTATTCTTACATTCATAAAAGCTTTGGCTAAGTAACAATTGATTGATCATGCTGGCGTCGTATGCCATGTTGGCCATTGAGAACATTGCCGTCAGCACACATGCTGCGATGGCCCCGTAGGAGTTGAAGTAGATGAACATGTCCCTGATTTCGGCTTGGTCTTACTGGTTGGAACAGGAAATATTGGGTCATGAGAATAAATTATAGTTGGGTCTGCTCTCTGTCAAGCTCACGTCGCATGGCCAGGTTGTTCCTATTTGAATTTCGTATCATCCCAGTTTTTCTCTTCTTTCATATGGCCAGAATTCCAGGTAGAATGATAAGCTACAATTGCCAAAACCCAGGAGGACAACGCTTGCTAACACTAGACTGTGGATGGGTATGCTTGTGAAGGCGAACCAACGAAGCGAATTGTAGATAAGCTCATGCAGCTAAAAGACCTCGGTTGATGGCCGGTTACTGATAGGAAGCTCGAAGAGCACAGACTAGAGATAAACGGAGTTTTACGTGAGGGGGCGATCAGCTGAAGCCAGGTCTGAAGCGGGATCTGCAGGTGGGATACCGGCACTAGCGGATTGCAGCGACACAACCACAGTGTTCTGCATGATCATTGTCGTATCCCCGAACATCGACTTTATGTCTCTACTCCCTTATCAAGCCGGGCATAGATAAGACAGTCTGTTTCATTCTGGTCTGGCGTTGATAGTGACCTGCCATTCGCATATGGTGACTACCTACTGCCATCAACAACAAACAACAACCTGATATGGCTGGCATCCCTTGGGACATTCCATCGAGTGCTTCGCCGGCACGATCCGCGATCTGAGATCTTGACATCATGGTTTTCAGCAAAAGTAACACGCAATGACCGTATTTGTATTTCCAATGCAGGAAGTGCCCAAACATTCATTGAAATAAGGACATATTGACACGAAGAAGCTCGCTGCGTCACCGGGACTCTGATGCCTGTTTTCCAGTGGACGTATATCTCTGGTTTGCGAGTTGGAGGGCCTTTGGTGTGGCTGACCAATCTTCTGAACGGTATTGGCAAGGGGAGAGCGAACCCCCACACGCCCGCGGACAAGGGTCATCGTCATGGATGCAAGTGCCACTGAGGCCGGAGATAGGCAGATGGTAGAAGCCGAAACAGATTCAACGTGATTCACTGCATTGATAGACATGATGTTATATTTTGCGGTAGGCATTTCCTGATGTTTGCGACCAATCTGCTCGCCTTTTGAAGCAACCAGCACTCTACGGAGCGGCTTTCGAGTTGAAGGAATGGCAGCTTTCAACCCAAACATACCTGAACTGGAGGTTCACAGCAATGGAAGCTGCCGGACATGTGCTGAGCAGGGTTTCAGTGATGCCTGTGACAAGAACCTTCCGTGTACGGCTGCCTTTGATCACCAGAAGTCATGTTTTCAAGTGCTGATTAGGGGTCCCTGTCTTAGTTTGCAACCGCTGTCTCGAAACTAGAAGGCTCTGTGGTGGTTATCATGCCCTTTACTCCTGGTCACATAGCAGAGATCAAAGCCGAAAGACACAATCACTAGAGCCTGGCTCGTCTAATGGTAAGTGTCCCACAAAATGTAGTTAAATCATCTAACAAATATCCTCCCCAGCTCTTCTATTTTCTCTGTCCTCTCTCGGCCTTCCGTCCGATGAGAACAAGTTGATGGAGCACTTTATTAGTATGTGTTTGGCACCTTGAAGATCATCCATGGTATATGATACAGGGCTTACTCCGTCTTGCAGAGAATATCGCTCGCTTATCACTGGCCGTTGATTATGATGGCAACGGCTATCGGCGGCTCGCTGTCGTTTCTCTGAATGACACGGCCCTATTAAATACTATTCTCACGGTTTCTAGCTCTCATCTCAATCGTTGGCATGGGCGCAAGGATTCCGCGCCGAAACTCCATTTGCGAAAGGCGTTGCATCATTTACAAAAGAGATTGTTGAAGCCTGCACAGGCCCGCAGCGAGGTCACTTTCATGACGATGCTGCTTCTGCTCATCTACGAGGTGCTCATGCCCCCTAAGCCCTGTTGATCAAGCATCTAACCTCCGCCTTCTAGCTTTGTGAGGGTACACAGCGCTGGAAATACCACTACGAAGGGCTACTGACATGGGTCCGGTCACGAGATGGGTGCTCTGACGTTGACCCCTTCTTGACTGGCCTCTTGGGGTTGGTAGCGACACAAGTGATTCTACACATGCCAGGCCTATTCAGAGAGAAAGCATGCAATTTGCTGAGCGTTCTATTCCCTCAAGCTCGCAGCCAAGGCTCTGTTGACGTGCTATCTGGGTTTTATGTCGGCTTCCCTGGACTTTTGGTATGTTGCCGTCTTCGGGTCTCCTCAACACCGTGAGAGCATACCTCATCAGGCACTAACAACCAAAGGTCGAATCTGCTCGCCTGCATGATGAGGTAAGACGATTGAGAGCTTGTTCAACTGATGACGGTATGCTTGAGATGAGAGCGGTATATGGAAAAGCAAAGGAACTTCAACGGCGCATTCAGGCAACCCAACTAGGGCCAGAAAATCTACCTTCCCTTGGCATGATTGGAGCGCAACAGTGTGCTTCCAGCATTTGCGACAGTCTTGTTCCTGCCGACATTTTGGATACTTTAGAAGTTCGGCAGGCAGCCAGAGCATCGGCTGAGGTGTTCAGACACGCTCTTCACATCTACGTCTATCGTATCCTTCATAACCCGACTGTTGGAAGAGAGTGCCCAATGGAAATTCGGTCAAGTGTTGACGATGTGTTTGATCTGATTCCTGATATTCCTGATACTGTTGGGCCCGGCAGCTTTCTTGGTTGGGCTCTTGTCGTTATCGGCGCTGAGATTGACGCTCTGGAACGAAGACAACACATCAAGCGGCGGTTGCAGAGCCTTGCCACGATGGCGCTCAACCATGGGGTTTTAGCTATATCTGTTTTAGAAGAGGTATGGCGCCGCCGAGATATGGCTGTATCAGGGCTGAGCAATAATCGTCTCTTCAGGTGGGAAGAAGTGCTTGAGGACATGGAGATTGACTTGGCACTTATATGAATTGGCTTCTTACACTGCTAGATCTACCAAAATCTTGAACATTATCTACGATAGTCTACATCCCTTCACTAACTCTTTTTCTCTAATTTTACGAGAAGCCCTTTTTGGATGGTGAAAAAGCGATTGAAGACGGACACATCTTCACTAGGAGAGCTCCAAGTGATGACAGATCTGAGCACAATTGTCGGGACAAGTTTGGTGATCTCCAACATTGAGATGTGCTGTCCACTGCAAGTATGACGGCCGGCGCCAAACGGCATCCAAGCACGTTTCATTTGGGCCAGTTGCTCAGGCGCGGCCTCCAACCATCTTTCGGGCGAGTAGACCTCAGGATTAGGAAATACCTGAGGATTGCGGTGAACTACCCAGGGATTGATACCGACCTCAACTCCTGGTCCAATGTGATACTCATTTCTGTCCCCATCGCGGAACACAGCGCCTTCCGGAGGAACTCCTCGAGCCAGCATCATCCCTACCGACGGATGTAATCGCATCGACTCCCGTACGATGGCAGATAGGTACGGCAACTTTGATGCAACGCCATAAGGCACCGGAGCTTCTGTGTTATCAAGCCCCGCATCCCGTAACTCCGCAATCAGACGATGAGTCACTGCTGGGTGACGGATCAAGTCTCTCAAAATAGCTCGAAGGGCTGTAGATGTGGTATCCCCTCCCGCAGTAATGTTTCCAAATATGTGCGTGTTAATCTCTCTGTCGGTGATCAGAGAAGGGTTTCTGGTCTGGTTTCGCAGCAGTCGAGACAGAAAGGTGCAGGAGGTCGCTTCATCATCTCCAATCAGAGCCTCCTTCTCGGCGATCGTTCGGTATGAAGTAGCAAGACTCATGACTTTGTCGAAGACTGATTCCTCATCGGTCAGGCGATTCAAGAGTCCCGCCACGATGCGGTTGCCGAGCAGAAAGCGATGCGCCCAAGGAATTTGGCCGATCTGAGCAAATCAAATCGTGGTAAGCGAGCTGGCTTTTCTTCTCCGTGGACCGATAACAATTACTTACACAGACAAGGTACCCAAGACCATCTTGCAACTGTCTGCAAAAGCCTTTGGGATCGCCGCTATTAATGAAGTCTAAATCCCGACCGAAAGTGACGTTGAAGATTGTGTCCATGGCGAAGAAGTGCATATATTCCCCTAGGTTGCAGATCGCTCCGGTGGAAGCATAGCAGATGTCCAAATGCTTGAGCAAGTTATCGATAGTTCTGTCCACAAGAGGCTCGAGCTGGACGAGAGCTTGTAGGGCATAAGCATTTGCCGCATTCCTCTTCATCCTCGTATGCGTCGCCTTGTCGGCGAGCACTAATGGATCCGGAACTAAGCCTTCTTCATCGTGAAATCTGATAGGTTCGTAGAAGCCCGCCTTAAAAAAGTTGGATGAGATGCCGTAGATCTTTTCAATGTGTGCAGGATCAGAAATGGAGACAGTGCGAGGCCCAACTCGAACGAAGTTGCCGTATTTTTTGTGCAGTTCCAACTCGTCTTCGTGGGAGTTGCCGCGGTAGATAGATCGAATTCGTGGAATGATTGACACTGAACTCAGGAATGGGCCAGGAATTCTGTGCAGATTACTGGAGTATCGAGCTTGAATCAAAGATATGCACAGCAAAGACACAATAACAAAAGGCCAATAGACCGCTAGTGTTTCTTTGAAATTATCAATCGACAGCATCTTCAGATGATAACAAATAAGATAAAACTTGAAGTTGAATGCATGCGTTGATGCACTTCGTGGCGTTCATGCTCTTCTTGAACGCTGCCGATCATGTGGCCCGCGGGATCCGTTGTCTTGGAGTTCGATCTTGGCTTACGAAAGAGCGTGTGAGTCTGGATTTGCCGACAAACTCAATGGAAGCTTGCATCAGATAGCTGCTGATACGCGGCGTGGCTCAGTTGCGGTGGCCCGAACTGCCGACGGGCTTTTTCTATCGCGGCCGTGTTACCCCAGGCCTATCGGACATAAGTACGGACCTTGGCAACGCAAATGTCCGACGCGAATGCTGCGGCCGGCGCAACAGAGATACGCTATTGTCAGAAATCCTGAAAGACAAGAATAATTGGTGTTGTAATTATTGTATCGTTGCAATGATTTACTCGCAAGCTGGTACGGCGATATGGCGCTATCATTTCTCCGTGCTTGTGGTCGGAGTTTTATGATGGGTGTATTATCAACAACTTCTTTTGGGATTTGCTCCAACGCAGAAGAGAGTACACAACGTTGATAAATATCAAGATAGTCGAATTAAACAAATTATTCCTCGAAAATATTCACCTGTCAATGCATCTGAACTTGACTAGTTATCCGTCTATTTCCAAATACATCACTAAACACACTTCACCATGTTTATGACCTTTACCCTTCATGACGCTCCAGTCACGGCTACGGAGTCGTCTCAACTTCTTAATGAGCCCAAGTTCACCCTTGAAGCGTTTGACCGATCAGATCCCCTCGACAAGATTATTCAGTCTCTCAAGTACAATGGCGGAGTTCGCATCAGAGGCTTTCTCAGCGCCCAGGAAATCGCGGAGGCGGAGAGAGCCGTACGTCCGCATGTGGATGCCGCTTCGTATGCCAGGTCCGATGATCAGACCAAACGCTTGGCTCGCCTTCCTGAGTATGCACCTGCCCTTACACAGAGAATCATTACAGATGAACTTTATCTGGAAGTGATGGACAAGTTTCTGTCCGTCAGCCACACCTCCTGGCTCGGCCGGAAGCGGTTTGTGGTGACCGAAAAACCAATCGTCGCTATGTCGTCCATTTTCGAAGTCGGGCCGGGAATGCATGTCCAAGACTTGCACCGAGATGACTCCATCTGGTACAACAAACTAACGGCCATTCGCCCGGAAGACTACGAGTTCGGTCGCGACAGCAGCATCAGCTTCTTCATTGCGGGTACTGACACTACGCATGCCAATGGTGCCACGCGATTCGTGCCTGGCAGTCATCTGACCAGATTCGACGAGCAACCAAACTCAGAATTGGCGATTGATGCTGAACTCAAGGCCGGTGATGCCTTCTTCATGCTGTCGAGCTGCTACCATGGTGCAGGTCAGAATACCACCGAGGATAGCAAGAGGCTCGTGTATGCTTTGTTCATGCAGCTGCCCCATCTCAGACAGGTAAGTCGCTCCCCAAATACTTTTATCTATACTCTAACCTGACGAAAACCGTAGGAGGAGAATTTTGCGCTCTACTTACCTCACGACGTTGTGAAGAGCTATCCCGTTGAGGTGCAACGTCGGCTCGGATACGATGTGGCACTGCCGAATCTTGGCTGGGTTGATCACAGCACACCACTGGAAAGCGTCCTGAAGCAGAAGGGTGCAGACAAGCGTGTCATTCCGGGATACAACCCAGTCGAAGGAATTGCCGACGAGCGCTCCGTACAAGCCCACGAGCTTCGGGTAAACGCGCCCAAGACGGTTGCTGTGGCTTAGATTGTGGCTTCTCTTTGCAAAGTAGTATTGACGTGTCTAATGCCAAGTCATTCTTAGTCTACTAAAGCAACGCTTGACCTTTACCTGTGTATTCATCCGTTGGTGGCTGTCAATGAAGAAGTGATGGATTTGTTGTCAGTGCAGACTACGCGCAGGACTTCCTATGCAAACATGCTGCAATTGATTCAAGTCTTTCTAGGGACAAAGTCATCTACTCACTCGTCTGTTCAGAAGCTCAGATCTGAAACCAATATCTGTTGTGCCGATACAACTAATTAGGTACCTTCGAGCAGTTGTCCTTGCCACCATTCACAAGGCGTATATCACGAAGCCACATCTTTTTTTAAACTCAATTTCATTCAAAGACCACGCGACTACTAATTGCAATCTCTAACCTCATTCCTGTACCAAACAAGAACATCAAATCGCCATGACTGCAACCTGTGATTCCACTCCGACCTGCGTCTCCATGGCTTGCTTACACTGGGCCTCATCCGGAATCATGTCATCCACCTCAAAGCTTGTGTCAACGGCCTTCTCATTGTCGTCTCCAGGGCGAAACTGCATGATTTCGCCTTCGGCCGGCAGAGCCAAATCAAAAAGAGACCCAGGCTTCCCAGACCGGACATCGCCAGCAAGCTCGTCAAAATATTGGTCGACGTTCGCTCTGGCGTCGTGCTCGAGAATCCAATCCGGACGACGAAGCTTCAGAGCATCCGGGTGCTGCTTCACAAATTCAGGCGTCCATTCGATCTCGTGGTACTCGTTCCGGTTGGACACAGACGACATGTGGATAACGTGCTGGCGATGAAACCTGATGCGTTCAAATACTTTCAATGCCAGCGGCACATCGCCTTTTGCCTTGTCAAGGCACGCCGCCACCGCCGCGCCGTCCTCGACCGATTGCGAAGCCCCTTGGCCGGATGTTGGAAAGTGGCAATGTGCGGCATCTCCGAGGACAATCATCCGCGGATGCGGGCCCTTTGGCAGCCACGTCTTCAACGGACTGCGCCAGACCAGTTTGTAGTCGACAAGATTTTCGTCCGGTGTGAGACGCACGACCTCCTTGAACAGCTCACAGAAGCCCCCTTCATCGAGGCATGCCATGACGTCCTTCTTTTTGCCAGGGAAGGACCATGACTCTCCGATGTCGTGGTCGTCCTTATGCGTCAAGACCCAGCCAAGATCGCGACCTTTGTTCCAGCTGTAGATGAGGCCATGGAGATCTTTACCCACCCACATTCCTGTGAAGTCGCGTTCGGGGTCGCAGAATCGACTCATGTAGATGTTCTTTCGCATTTCAGGAGTGAGGGTGTAGAACGCACGATAAATGGCGTAGCCCGAGTTGACTTTATGATCCGGGAGCTGAAGAACCTTCTGCCGGGCCAGTGACCTGGGACCGTCGCAGCAGAGAACTACGTCTCCCCAGACTTGAAGCCCGCTGGCGCAACTGACGCCGACTTGGCGATCGATACCTTCACGTCCCTGATCAACGTAATCAACGACAGTCTCTCCCAGTCGAAATACCACTCCGAGGCTGGCTGCATAGTCGGACACCATCTCGTGCATCTCTCCACGGTGACCGGCATACTGCCTCTGAGTATGATGGGGATATTTGTGCCAGGCATCCTCCATCAGATACTCGCCCTTGGCGTTGTAGAACTTGAAGGTATCGTTACGATTGATACAGACATCTAGCATCTTTTCGGCAATCCGGCCTCCATCCCATGACTCAAAGATCATGCCGCCGTTGGCGAATAAGTCGATGACATCTCCTTGTGTGCGGGATGTGGGATACGTCTCGACAACCACCACATCCATTCCCCTGAGGCGACATTCGATAGCACTGGTGAGACCACAGAACCCAGAGCCGATGATGACAACTCGGAGCCCTATGGCCCCAGAGTTCGTGGCATCAGGGGCAATACTACTAAGGGGCGTGGTAGGCGGGTTTTCTGCCATTTTTGGTAGGAGACAATCTATCAAGTCTCGTCGGTGTACAATATTGTAAAAGAAAATGAGCTTGAGTAGTATAACAGAGAATGCAAGTGTGAATCTGGCATCAAATGGAAGTGTGTCGTCGTTTTTTAATTTAAGTCAATTGGACACTTGTGCTTCATCGAAGTCCTTCAAACTTTAGGTTCCCTCCACAAAAACCACAAACCAAGAGCTTGGAATTACTTGACGTCACGCTGGATAGTTTTGTCCGAATCCCTAAAGTCCGTAGTCTTCAGCTGAAGATAATGGACTCGGGCAAGTGGCAATGTCCGAGGCACACAAAACTCATCTGATATCCACCCCAAACATACAGTTTAACTTGTCGTTCGAATGAATCTGCCCATCTCTCTTAGTCGCCATTGCCTCCGTCTTGAGACTCAGGTATAAGTCCGCAAGACCTCTGTCAGACCCGAGATAACCATTTTGGAGGCAATGGTGAAAGCAATCAGTGAACGATCGCCAATTCTCCGCCGCAATCTTATCTTTCTTTATCAACATGCAGCAGCATGTATCGCCATGGATGATAGGTCCGGACAAATATGCAGTGCATTTCATGTTCGCCAAAAATGGAATGGCCTTATCTTTGCATCCTTGCCAACGCGACACGCCCATGCAAGATCGTAATCAAGTAGAGGCGGCTGTGATGGAGGTATCCCGCATTTTCGTCAGCAATGTCAACAACGAAGTTTTCCAGGCCTTATCCACGAAGCCCAAGAAACAAACGCCACCATCTTCAAGGCCACTGACAATGCATCATGCAGTCGCTTGCCTGCGAAGAGTGTAGGAAGCGTAAAGTGAGTTCTGGAATGCGCACGCTTGTGCAGCTGTGGCTGGGAACTCTTGCTTATTCCACTCTAGGTTCGCTGTACGGGGAATACGCCATGTTCAACGTGCGAGAGACTCGGTACCAAATGTCACTTTGAACTGAATAGACGAAAACGCGGTCCCCGTCCAAAACATGCCCAACTCGACCAGTACAACAAGAACACTTCTATATCTAGCCGACACAGCATCTCCACCTTACCAGAGACGACAACTAGAAGACAGTCCCAAGTGTCAGGAACTTCTCCGCTGGTTGGCTGCGGCGCTACGAAGTCGCAATTCAGCTGTGGCCATGCCCATAATTGGCGAGCAGGCTTAATCAAAACCATGGGACAAGAGAAGTACCTTGTCAAAGGGTCAGTATCCTAAAGAATTTGATTCACTGCTCTCGCTGTGTTGACACTTCGTGGAAGTGCAATTATATCCGTTGACGAAATAATGCATTTGGTCTTGACCTTCTTCGCTACAGTCAATCGCCAGCAATGTCCACTCTTGCCCTTCTGCTACTTCCTATCGCTCCTAGAAAGCGGTCAAGCAACACGTCACCTCTGTCACGCCATGTGCGCGGCAAGTGTTCCCTTCTCGAGACAAAGCGTGAGATCAGCTCCATTCGATTGTGAGGTCTTCGCGTCAGATGCACGAGAATGCCTCAGTTCAGGCCACGAAAACACCCTTCAGTTGAAGGTTCAGCGAATCCTGAGTCTCGGCGTTTTGTCAGTGTTCGAGACATACCAAGGGCGTGGACTGCAAGCTTGGTATGATATAAGTGAGATCAGTCTTCGTTGTTCGATGATGTTTGATTTGAAGTCGCCTTGAGCTGACTGGTCGATATAGCAGCGATGGCAGCGGCATCCATACCTCCACTGCGACAATCTCTCACCAAGGTTGACGAGGAAATATCACAAATATTGGACAGAATAGACGGTTATCTCAAAGTCGCCAGCGCTTTTCAATCGATCGGCCATATTATTGAACCTTTTGGGACTTGCTCCTTCAAGTGGCCAGTTCTAATCGACGCCGAAGACCACGAATCCGCGAATACTTTGATACCCTCTATGCTACTCCCTCAGCTTGCTCAACTGCTCCTTCGATGTGTTGCGCTGGCACGGGAGGACATGACGCAGATGAAACCTGCGCCCTGGTCTATCGATTCAAGCTTCATGGCTCTGAAGCGTGACTTGGATGCTCTCTACGCGCTCCATGCCGGAGATCTGGCTTTAACACAAGAGACCGTGTGCTCGGTACTGCATGATGAGCAGCATACTGGAGAGCGCCTCACCACTCTTACCATGTTCTACGGAGCCCGAATCCTACTTAACAGAGTCTTCTTGCCGGTCGGTGTGGTGCCATGGGACCACGCAGGCACAGCGGAGTGCCGTGAAAGGACGGCGTCTAAGGACCAAACAAACCACCGCCACACCAGGAAAGAAATTGTATTTCCTTCCGCTCCCGAAGCCTTTCAGAAGGAACGGTCTGTTGCATGCATGCATGGCGCTCGCCGTGCCACTCTTTTATGTCGGAAGATTCTGGAACTTGGCATGTGCCCAGTGCGTTCTGCTCGATTATTCTTGGTTCTCTTAGACTTGACATCTCAACTAACTGAATCCAGCCCCCATTCCTTGGGTATATTATCTTCCTCGCCGGAAGTGTATTCCTTAGTCAGCTTCGCGTCGAGAACGACCACGCTCGCCGCAACGAATTCGTCAACCACCTGAAAGTAGTATTCACTATTTTGGGTACCATGAGAACATTCTTCAGCCCGGCCCATTTGTGGATTGACACTCTGTTTCGTATACACGCACTCCGTCCTCTGCATGAATCATCTTTGCTCTCAGGCTCTTCGGTCCATCTCTTCAGTAGCTTCTTCGCACGATTTCAGGGCCTTTCCGAATCACCATTTTGCCCCATGGATCCTGCGGCTATTTCAACGATGAAATCCCAATCTCCGTACGCATCTAAGTCAAATGATAGAAATCGGCAAAGCATGAAAGATGTATTTGTTTCAGGAGACGGCCTTGACGAAAGACAAGGTCGAATGTCGGAAATCGAATCAGTGGAAAAAGGAACGTCTTCACGACCCTCTCCTTTGGATGACTACGCACGAGCAATCGGAAACCAAGTTGACGATTTGGATAAAGGCGAGACCAGCACAAGCTTCATTCACAGCTCTACCACCGAGC